CCTTCACAAACTAGACTTTGTGAAGGCAGAATTCTTCACAAACTTGACTTTGTGAAGGCAAAACCCTTCACAAACTGACTTTGTGAAGAATTTTGCCTTCACAAACTTGACTTTGTTTTGTGAAGGCAGAATTCTTCACAAACTGGACTTTGTGAAGGCAGAATTCTTCACAAACTTGACTTTGTGAAGGCAGAATCCTTCACAAACTTGACTTTGTGAAGGCAGAATCCTTCACAAACTCGACTTTGTGAAGGCAGAATTCTTCACAAACTTGACTTTGTGAAGGCAGAATTCTTCACAAACTTGACTTTGTGAAGGCAGAATTCTTCACAAACTTGACTTTGTGAAGGCAGAATCCTTCACAAACTGGACTTTGTGAAGGCAGAATCCTTCACAAACTTGACTTTTTGAAGAAATTTGCCTTCACAAACTTGACTTTGTGAAGGCAGAATCCTTCACAAACTTGACTTTGTGAAGGCAGAATCCTTCACAAACTGGACTTTGTGAAGGCAGAATTTTTCACAAACTGGACTTTGTGAAGGCAGAATTCTTCACAAACTTGACTTTGTGAAGGCAGAATTCTTCACAAACTTGACTTTGTGAAGGCAGAATTCTTCACAAACTGGACTTTGTAAGGCAGAATCCTTCACAAACTGGACTTGTTGAGGCAGATTCTTTCAAACTGGACTTTGGTGAAGGCAGCATCCCTTCACAAACTTGACTTTGTGAAGGCAGAATGCTTCACAAACTAGACTTTGTGAAGGCAGAATTCTTCACAAAAGTGACTTTGTGAAGGCAGAATTCTTCACAAACTTGACTTTGTGAAGGCAGAATCCTTCACAAACTGGACTTTGTGAAGAATTTCTGGACGAATCCTTCACAAACTTGACTTTGTGAAGGCAGAATTCTTTACAAACTTGACTTTGTGAAGGCAAATTTCTTCACAAACTTGACTTTGTGAAGGCAGAATTCTTCACAAACTTGACTTTGTGAAGGCAGAATCCTTCACAAACTGGACTTTGTGAAGGCAGAATCCTTCACAAACTTGACTTTGTGAAGGCAGAATCCTTCACAAGCTGTAACTGGACTTTGTGAAGGCAGAATCCTTCACAAACTGGACTTTGTGAAGGCAGAATTCTTCACAAACTGGACTTTGTGAAGGCAGAATTCTTCACAAACTTGACTTTGTGAAGGCAGAATTCTTCACAAACTTGACTTTGTGAAGGCAGAATTCTTCACAAACTTGACTTTGTGAAGAATTTTGCCTTCACAAACTAGACTTTGTGAAGGCAGAATTCTTCACAAACTGGACTTTGTGAAGGCAGAATCTTCACAAACTTGACTTTGTGAAGGCAGAATTCTT